CTGCTACACTATAGAATAATTACTACTAATATGTTAAACATTAAGGTCTTGTTATTTGATGGCTGATCTCCAAATATTTAAATTATGTCTTAACCTCATTCTGAAAGATTGTGATAAATTATTAACATTGTTTTTTTTTGTTTTTTGTTTTTTAAATCTCCGGATTAAAGCAGTAAGTTATCAGAGAGTAATTGTCAAATGTTTCATTTTTCTGAAATGCAAAAAAAAAAAAAGATATTCTGATATAAAACTGCATTTTTTAACTAAAAATCTAATTGCACAATTTTGTCCGCCATTATCAGAGTCACAGTCTCATACCCTCTCTATGATCTATGGCGCCTGTTTTATGACCATTTTTATTTATTAGATTTTCAGTTACATAAACCAACACAGCAAAGGGAGCAAAATAACTCCCAGCACAAAGCGCGTACAAATTGACATTTAGACTTAACAAAGTGACTTTGCTGCACTCAGTAGGTGACGTAAACCAAACTGGGCGAAGGGGTAATGTGAAACAAGACATTGTCAAATGCAAATAGAAATGGTGTTTCCAGAATTTCAGTGCAAGTATCCCTGATCAGTTTCCAAAATGGACTAATTAGTGGGCAGTCCCACCATATATGTCGGATGGACCCTTCTCCTTTCCGCACCTCCAGCAGTAGGTTACACAGATGGAAATATGTCGGGTTTACGGTACCACCGGGAGAGCAACTTATAGATTACCTCCCGATACCTACTGCTGAGTGCTGACAGTGCTGTTTTACCTGCATCATATTCAGAATGCATGAGAAATGAAAGAAAGGGAAATGAAAAAAAGAAATAAAACAGATCTACCTCCAGATATCCTAATACTGCACAGATGGGACAGTCTAAATCCAGCGCCACCAGGAAGAAGTGGCGCAAATCACAAGCCCCTCATTCTGTTCTATCGATGCTATCCCATAGATTCCTGACCAGCAGACGTTACTCGATACATAGTTTATGTCCCGGCCATAGTCCTCTCATCACACAATACACATGATGTACATTTGCCCCAGTTTTTGCATTCAGGACATTTGAAGCAGATTTTGTAGCACTTGTACAGAGCTATGGAATTTGATGGCGCTATATAAATAATAATAATAATAACAACTTGTGTATATATTTTGCACCCAGCCGAACACATGAACCACCACAGTTACTATTTTACATCCACCGCCGATATGACATTTGAATCAATGAACAAACTTCTTTTGTCGGTGAATATTTAGACTTTTCCCCTTGCAATCGTTAATTCAAACCCCGCTCTTTCATCACCGTATGAATTCCAGCCTTCTTGATGATCAGTGTACAATGCCTTCCATTGTAAGTGTAACATGTCGTAAATATGACTTGTTACTAAATAAAACAGAGCACATCCTGGTCACATGTGTAATATGATTCCGTGTAATGTGTATGTAGTCAGAATGGCAGCTCGTGATTAATTACAATATTTTTTTACTTTGTTTGTACTGACTTTCCAAAGCAAAGCGGAGAGAGGGAAGGCGAAGGACTGGGGATTAATGATAAGGGGACAATCACTTCTCGGTTTCAACCATGACGCGGGAATGAAAATCAAATCCCAATATACACACACACACACACAATCTCTTGTATACACACACACACACACTCTGGGCTTTCTCACGTGAATCTCCCAACCACTCTCACTATATTTTGTATAAACTAAAAGCCAGCTCTTCTATTTGCATTGGTCCCCTTTTGGTTTTAGGATTCTTTAAAGTGTTACTCCAAACACCATCAGCACTTCAGTGATTCAAACGCTGCACATACAGAGTAAAGGTGTAACTTCACCTCCTGCTGAGTCATTGTGGTGGCCATCAGCCAGCTCGGAACAAGATTTCTGGGTGGCTAATATGAATTCTATGCAAAATTGGCATGAGACACTAGCGCACACAGTTTGTCGACAATTTTAAATGGATACTATAAATATAGCCAGTCCCGGACTGGCCACCGAGCATACCGGGCAAATGCCCGGTGGGCCACGATGGCCATGGTCGAGGCCAACAGAAGAGATCACAGGATCTCCCTGGCCAGTCCATGTAGGGCCCGCCCCTTCATGGGCCAGTGTTGAGATCAAAGGTCTACCTCACCGGCCCACTAACAGTAACTAATGGCCACCGGATGGGGAGGGAGAGAGGACCCAGTGGAGCTCTAACCTGCAGCTCCGCCAGGTTCTCTCTCGAGGTTGGAGTGTTGCCGCGATTACCGTCTTGCAGGCTAGAGTTCACTCTCACCACTAGGACCACCAGGGATGGCAGCATGGTTCCCCCACTCACCTCTCTCCCCCCTTCCCAGGCTAAAAGTAAGAAGGGAGGGGGGATATAAAGTTTTTTATTTTTTATTTAATGAAAAAAAAAAACATATTTAAATCTTTCCCCCTCCGTCACACACACAGCACCCTCACACACACATATATAATATATAAAATAACCGTCATTGAAGTAACAGACAAAGAAAATTAGAAACATAGAATATGACGGCAGATAAAAACACCCTTACACACACACAGCACCCTTCTTACACACACACACACACACTCGCTACATCCCCTATACACAATAGGGGATCCCTATACACACACTCTCTACAGCCCCTAGCCACACATATTACACCACAAACATGAATTAAATCGACCTAATTACAAAATACCACAATCAGCTCACTCTACACATACGCAATCCCACAAGCAGGCTCCAAATACATGCACCATACGCTTTCCTGGCCCTTTTGTCCTCTGGTATCCCACTTATGGAGACACCAGAGACCAGCTAAAAGCAAACACAGCGCAAGCACGTTATTAAATTTGCTTGCGCTGAACAGAACAATACAGGGCCTTTTTCAGCATTAAGAACTGTTAAAAACATTTTCAGTCTGAGATTCACTTTATGGTCTAAAAATGATTACTTAGATTTCTTTTAGTGGTCTCTATGCTATGGAATATTTTTAATTGGGATCCGGTTTCAGATTTATAACGTTATTGGAAAGCACATATTTTCTTTGCAATGTAACGTAATGAGAGATGTCGGAAATTTTCTAAACGTTTAGTAACACAGTTCGTTTTTTACAAAAGTTTCTTATAAAAGTGATATTTAAAACCAGAGAAAAAAGATAATGGAACTCCACTCTGGGCCCCCAGACATCAGCAAGAAACCGTCTACATTTCTAAAACAAAGTGTAATTTGCTATCAGGGGAAGTAGAATCAGAAAAGGCGAGAAAGACAATCGGATGTTGATTCCATTTCCTTGTTTTTTCAACTGATTTGTTGTCTAATCTCCACGGCGTGCTGGATAATGTAACAAAACGGATGGTGACCAGTGATTTGAAATATTCTGCGGGAGACAGTCTGCAACTGATAGTCACAATTCTGATTGCCATTTCATTGTCAAAGCAATGGGATCCTGTCACCAGGAATGGGTCCTACAAAGACCAACACACTGTCTGATTATTTGTTTGAGATTCAGAAGCAGTACCGCTGCACAGTGGCGTACTAAGGGGGGGGCGGTCCGCCCCGGGTGCCAGCCGGGTGAGGGGTGCCAGACCAGCTCCGCCGCCCCCCCCCATGCTGCAGCCGCCCGAGCGCTCTGTAAAGAGCCTCGGGCGGCTGCAGTTTTGCCCGGGCGGTGCGTCCATGAGGGCGGACCGCACCGCCCGGGCGCAGCCTGAGAAAGGGGGCTGACAGGAGGGAAGCGCTCAGCGCTCCCTCCTGTCACTCCCTTTGCTGTAGCGTGGCCGAGCCCGGCAGCATTGATGGTCCGATGAGAGAGCAGTTCTTACCCGGCCGGACTAACAGGAAGTGCACACCAGTGTGTACTTCCTGTTAGTCCGGCCAAGTACAGGAGACAGCTGCTCTCTGCACCCGCGGACCTATACCGGGCTCTCCCACGCTACAGCAAAGGAGAGGGGGGAGAAAGGAGGGGGGGTGAGGAAAAGGAGGTAAAGTGAAAAGAGGAGAGAGAGGAAAGTGAAAAGGAGAGAGAGGGGGTGAAAAGAGAGAAAGGGGTGAGAGAGGAGAAAGGGGGTGAAAAAAGAGTGAGAGGGGTGACAGATAGAAAAGGAAAGTGAGAGGGGTGAAAAAGAGAGAGAGGGGGGTGAAAAAAAGGAGAAGGTGGGGTGAGAGAGGGGGGTGAGAGGAGAAAGGGGTGAAAAGGAGGGGGTGAAAGAGGAGAGAGGGTGGAAAAAGGAGGAGAGGGAGGCATAGAGGAGAAAGTTGGGGGTGGAAAAGGAGAAAGGCGGAAAAGAGAGGGGGTGAAAGAGGAGAAAGTGAGAAAGGAGGGAAAAGGAGAAAGAGAGAGGGGGGGAAAGGGGGGGGTGAGAAAGGAGGTGTGAAAGAGAAAGGAGGTGTGAAAGAGAAAGGAGGTGTGAAAGAGAAAGGAGGTCAGAAAGAGAAAGGAGGGGGAAGAGAAAGGAGGGGGAGAGGAAGAGAAAGGAGGGGGAGAGGAAGAGAAAGGAGAGGGGTGAGAGAAAGGAGAGGGGGGGCGAGAGAGAAATTAGGAGGGAGGGAGAGATATTAGGAGGGGGGAAATAGAAATTAGGGGGGAGAGAAATTGAAATTAGGAGGGGGGTAGAGAAATTGAAATTAGGAGGGGGGTAGAGAAATTAGGAGGGGGGAAGAGATATTAGGAGGGGGGAAAGAGAAATTAGGAGGGGGGGTGAGAGAGAAATTGGGAGGAGGAGAAGGAAATTGGAGCGGGAGGAGAGATTGACATTCATCACATACACACAATGCACCCCTTGCACACAGAAAAACACACAATGCATACACACACAGACACACATACACAAGCAATGCAACCGTTACACACAATGCATCCCTTACACACACAGAAACACACAATGCATTCATTACACACACTCAATGCACCCCTTACACACATTCAATGCATCCCATAGATACACAGAAACACACCTTGCAGCCCTTACACATACAAACACAATTTCACACACTGCATTCCTTACACACATATCAGGACATCCCCTACACACTCCACCCCCTGTGAACAAACTCATTGGTGGAACATGAAGGTGGACCCTGGGACCCAGACCTTGAGCTGTGTAAAGGGCCCCCCCAAAAATGGAGCTGCTTCCCGTTCTCCCAGAACATTGATTTTGTGACCACAGTTACAAACAGCCTCCAGAGATCCTGTTCTACACCAGACCAGTGGAGCCAGACTGCAGCTAGAGCTCATCATCATCCTCATCTGGTTGTAAGTAGGCAATCTAGTATATTATTTGTGGCACTAATCTCTAATTTACCTCACATTAAAAACACTATAGTCCCCAGAACCACTTCAGCTTAATGTAGTGGTTCTGGTGTCTATAGCCTGTCCTTGCAGGCCTTTTAATGTAAACACGGCGGCACTGCAGCACTGGCGTTAGTTAACATGGAAAATCATATGGGTGGGGCATTGTGATGTCACATGGGGGGGGCGGTAAACTTTACTTTTGCCTAGGGCGGCAAAAATCCTTGCACCGGCCCTGGCTGGAGGGGGCTGTGTGAGCTGTGGCCGCACAGTGTCCCATGGTAGTTAGGGTGCCGTGCGGCCAGTACAGCTCACACAAGCAAACAGCCGATAAACTGGCCGCACGGAGGAAATGTGTATGTGTGACTGTCTGCCTGTGACTGTATGTGACTGTCTGCCTGTAACTGAGTGTGTGACTGTCTGTAACTGAGTGTGTGACTGTCTGCCTGTAAATGTGTGTGTGGGGATTTTGTAGAAGGGGGCGGGGGTTTTGTATTGGGACAGGAGTCTTTACAAATTGTAAAAAAATAAAAGAGAACCTTTAAAAAATTTTACAGGTTTTTTTTTTTTTTTTGGGGGGGTGCCAAGCACAGGATCCGCCCCGGGTGCCAAATGCTCTAGGTACGCCCCTGCCGCTGCATATTCGAAAGAATTTATGATAAAGAGATGACGATCCAACCTTTTTATTATCATTTTTTTTTTTATTAATAGCTCTTTAACTCCCAAAAATGCAACATAATAAATAAAATTCTAAATAATGACAGAGAGCGGAGAAATATGTACACAGACAAAGTTATACAATAAAGTGAGAATTGTCTGGATGTCAAAGTAAAGGAATTTTCCGAATTCAGAGATTTTTGGCTTACATTTTAATTTCGCTGCAAATTTCTGACAATTCTCATTTTAGTGAATAATTCTGAGAAAATATCTGTCATGCGCTGATTGTTTTAAAATATTGTTCACATGAATTCTGCAAAATGATAAAATAGTTCTATCTAAACTGGTAAACATAGCTTTGGTACCTCGCCAACTCCCCCGCCCCTCCCTCCATGGCTGAGATGATCAATCTTGATTATTTCCGGTAATCCAATGCTTCCCTGTAGATAATAAGCTCTTGCGCATGTGCAGCAAAATGCAGCCCTGGCCAATCCGCATCTCCTCAGAGAAATACATTGAATCAATGCCTCTCTAGGTTGAGTGTTTAGCGCCTCCATGCCGAGTGTGGAGATGCTGAATGCCAGTGCTGCATACTGTTTAACAAAGACATAAGAAGCACCTCTAGTGGCTGTCTGAGTGACTACACCTAGAGGTGTTCCGAGGTTTTTCTGACCTTGGCGAGTCTCCTTATTGCTCTGAATTCCCAGCCCACACTACTCTTTGACTGACTAGTTTATTAGCACATGTATTTACTCATTTCTTCAAGGAGGCTTCTGCCATCCCTCCGGCCATTCTAAGGACCATAATAAGTCATTTTGTCACTTTTACTGGAAAAATACTGCCTACTAAGTGACTATATATCTATATACATTTATAGTATGTATAGATACACATTATATCATTTGTTGCTCTATGCAGAGTTATATTTTGGACTCTGGTCCTTTATCTTTTTTGGGGGGATTTGGAATTTCCTTGGTTTTCCTCAAATGCCCGGTGAACTTTTTCCATTTCATTGCTATCGAGATTCCTGTGTTCGCTAGTAAAATCTTCTTTCTGATTAAGGGACTTTCATCTGTTGTTGTTGTTGTTCAATCTCTGGAAGTTGCCTCGGCTTCTGAGAGCAGACTAAACATCGGGACGAGACCCTCGCACAGCCCAGAGAAAAACAGGAAAATGTTTCATTTCACTGTGACGTGGATTAAGGTAAACACATTTTAACACACATTCTTGGAACAAAAACCACACAATATAAGTCCATTCACTCAGCAGTGGGATACATTGAATTGACAAGTGAATAAGAAAATGTGGGCCGACGTAGCTCTGTCATATCTGATACAATTATCAAATATGTTCTTTCAGCCTTAATTTTACAAATTGGACCAATCAGCAGGAACCGTTTACTGGTTTCTATAACGATTGTGTCTGTTATTGTGTATTCCTAATGCTATAGTATACTAGTCACATTTAGGTCACTGGCCCTCATCCTACATGGAGAGAAAAAGGGGCATTTACTTACGTTCCTCCTTTGCAGTGCTGGTCTCCAGTGTCCGTCTCTGTCTCCCTGACTGAGGTCATCAAGATTCCAGTAGGATAGCATTGGGAGGCTAGTGCGCATGCCAAGCAGAATGCCGTGCTCTGCCAATCAGATGGTCTCTTTGGAAGCGCCCTTAGTGGTTATCGGTATTACAGCCACTTAAAACAGGTTAAACCTGTAATGTAAACCTTGCTGGTTAAATCGGGCAGGGGGATGGGTACGAACACCACTTCAATGAGATGACATGGTCTGGGTGCTTATCAAGGCCCTTTAACACGCCCTTTCGCCCTCTGCGGTATACTCAGTGTCTTAATGATTTCCACATGAGTATAATGGCTGTGTTTATTTACGTTGTGTTTAGGGAGGAATGTACTAATTCAGAGAAAGCATAGACGTTAAACGATGTCTCCTTTCCCTGAGATTAGCACTAGGTAGTAATTTAAGGTAAAAATGTATTTTAGAGAGTTGGTTGACCACACATTAAGAGTTTTGTAAAGTCCTATTTTCTATGAGCATCGTTACGTGATATTAATCACAGTAGCACAAATATTCACTATCTTGATATCTTAGTCTAATGAAAGTACGGATAAGGAGAATTAACACTCGTTAATGAGAACATTTTCTGCGCACCGTTCTTTGATATGACACCATTTTGGTAAAATCACTATTTATATCAGACATTCCCTCCAAAGACACAACGTAACATTCCTATTTATGTAGGCCGCTAGCTGTGTGTAACTGTTTTGTCTGCTGGATGTTTGAAATGAATCGACCCACATGTGAATGAATTTGTACGTTTTATCTAACCGGACCATCAGAATCAGCATCACAACCGATCTGGAAAACACCGAGTAAGTCATGTCTTATCAGAATGTATTCCATTCACTCCATGTAGACGGTATACTCTCCGACTATCACAAGCTTGGTGGTTTTATAACGGACAGGAGCAAATTAAAGGGACGCTACCAACAAAAAGGTTTTATTTGCAAAATGACTTTACTAACTACAATGGGGGCAGGGCACTCCTGACACCACAACCACTACAGCGTACTTGTTTATAGTTGTTGGAGCGTTCCTTTAAAATAGTATTCCCTCAAGATGAGATTTTTACACCTCCCATTGGCTGTGTGTTGCGCTATTTTTCTTTAATTCTCGCCTGTTTATATTTTTTTAATTTACTATTTTATGCATAAGAGCATGTGCGCCTACTGCACCATGGACATGCGCTCGCTCAGTGTTTGCAGAACCAAACAGAAAAAAAAAAATCTAATTATTATCAGTGATTTTTTTTGTATTTTGTTTTTTATCCATTCTAACCCAAACTGTACGTCGATTGTCATCTCAGCGCATGTCCCTGTTTAGTAGATAATGCTATACGCTGTATCTCATTTCATTGTATGTTGTATTCTCTCTGAAGTCGGGCATGCCGGCATGACACAGTGATTTGTGAGCACAAGTGGTGCCTGCCATCTGTGGGGTGTCTTTTTGTACTGAAAAAGTGATTTATAATCTTCTTTAGGTGACATTTAGTGAATATTTTATTTTTCTGTATATTCACGATAAAGTTCATTTTCACAAGATCCTTATGAAAACTGCTCCTATTTCTCATAATATTTATTATTCACAGGATTTTTATTAACCCGCATAGATTGTTCTCTCTGTATTTTCGGAATATTTGTCCATGATTCTGAACTGCTGGCTCCCTCGCCAACATAAATTATTAATGGCTTTGATTTTATGAAGTGAAACACAGGATCATATTTCAAAGATGAACTTTTTTTCTTACATCTGTCTCCTCTTAACGACACGTTTTCTGTGTAGATGATTATTCTGGAGCAGATCTGAAGCGTGCTTTAATAAACCCTCTTCTTCTGGATTCTTTATATCAATAATCTAAGTTCCAAATGGCTCCCTGTGTGCATTTCAATATTACACAATTAATAAAACTTAATATGTACAAGTTGTTTTTATAATCTAATCCTAATATCATTCATGTCTACAGAGGAGTAGCAATGAGTTGGATTGAGATTATTGTGTTTGTATTGTTATTGGTTATTGTATTTAATAGTTTATGGAGCTGGTGAGACAGATCAGTGGCTAGGGCTCCTGTTGAAGCATCTCAGAATCACTTATTTAAGGCTGATAAAATTGGTAAAATTACCTTTGGTATTAAAGAAACACTCTAGTCACCTAAACAACTTTAGCTTAATGAAGCAGTTTTAGTGTGTAGATCATGCCTCTCAGGTTTTACTGCTCAATTCACTGCCATTTAGGAGTTAAATCACTTTGTTTCTGTTTATGCAGCCCTTGCCACACCTCCCCTGGCTATGACTGACACAGCCTGCATGGGAAAAAAACTGGTTTCACTTTTAAACAGATGTAATTACTATCTTTATCTTTATATTTGAACTTTAATCACATACAGGAGGCTCTTGCAGGGTCTAGCAAACAATAACATAGCAGGGGATACAAAAATTACAGAACATGCAATAAAGAAAGGATAAACTTTAGATGACTCTTTACAGGAAGTGTTTAGGAAGGCTGTGCAAGTCACATGCAGGGAGGTGTGACTAGGATTCATAAACAAAGTGATTTAACTCCTAAATGGCAGAGAATTGAGTAGTGAGGCTGCAGGGACATGATCTATACACCAAAACTGCTTCATTAAGCTAAAGTTGCTTTGGTGACTATAGTGTCCCTTTAACAATGGGATGTATCTGTAAACCAGCATCATGCT